GGGGGGGGGTGTGGGGGGTCATCATGGAGGAAGGCGGGAGGCATGCGGAGGATGAGGTGACATACCAGATTCTCCTCACACAGCTCCCGGAATTGCTGGAACTTCTGGGACATGAGCAGCTGGGCGCTCCCCACTGCACTGCGGATCTTGCCCTGGACTGCAGACACGCAGGCAGGCGCGCGCGCGCACGCACACACACACACACGCCGCAATTACTCACACTGCCTGGCGCGCACTGCAGGCATGTTGCAACACTGGCAGGGAGAATGCATTATTGAAGCAACCGCATGACAACGGCAAGGCGATGACATCATTGCTAGAAATGCTGCTCCACATCCTAATGCAACGGTGATGTCATGCATTTTCTTTTCCAAGGTCACATTTCATGTACATCTTTGCCAGGACTTCAAAAAAGGTGCTAAGTTACATATAAATAAAAAAATATATATAGATGTCATATTACATCACTGGACCAGACTAGGTGCGATTTTAATCAAAACTTAACATGGCAAATATGCAATTGAGATGTCATCTCTTTGTTCCAATCGGATTTGATTTGATAGATGTATTGATGAAAACCCATCTTTTGGCAGGGGTTCACAACCCGAACATCATATTTTGGGAAACGTAAAAAAAAATAATTATTAATTTAAAATCACACATTCGATAAAAAGGGAAAGGAATTTTTTGTTTTGATAGAGATAATTATCAGTCATTATCGATACCGCGATCAAAGGGACTACATTTGATATTTCCGAAGTGTGTATCCAACTGGTCGCCCTTCCTATTAAATCAGTAGCCAGGAAGTAGCTCAAAGAGCGCCTCACCGTCATCCGGCAGCTGGTTGTCCGTCTGGTCCTGCTCCATCTGACGACACCATCCCTGCATACGCTCCGTTTCCGCCTGTAGCAGTTTGAGGAACCAGCGTCCATCGCGGGGGCACACCGATCGGCTAACGGCCTCCGGCGCCCCCTCCGCCGCTTCCGGCTCGGCGGCGCTGTCCATCCACGGGTCCGGAGGGGGCAGGATGGACGCGTCGAATCCCGCTTCGCCGTAATCCTCGCCGGCGCAGGCGTGGTAGTGGTTGCCCGAACCTTGGATGCGCACCGTGGAGGCGGCGGAGGCGGCGGCTTCGCGGGAGTGCTGGCGTGGCATGGTGGCGCAGTGGAGTGGCGGCGGCAGCTGCGGGCCATCCGAAGGGTTGTCCAGGTCGGCCTGGACGGCGGCGGTGACGCTATTGGAGCGGGTCATGCGGCGGTGACTGCGGAAATGGACAAGACTGTAAGCAACGTGAGTGGCTCCGAACGTTTCTCAAGTTCGCCTTATAGTCCAAAATTTACCATCAAACGTTTTCAGCTAATTGTATCGACCAACATGTTGCTGATTCTGAAGCGAGTTTAAATGAGTAGCTAGCATACAGTGCTTATCTCAAGTTTGTGCTTGCAAGTTTCTTCTGTGTGGAGTTTGCATGTTCTCCCCGGGCCTGCGTGGGTTTTCTCCGGGTACTCCGGTTTCCTCCCACATTCCAAAAACATGCGCTGCAGCTCTAATGGAACACTCGAAATTGTCCGTCGGTGTGAGTGTGACCGCGGATGGTTGTTGTGTGCCCTGCGATTGACTGGCAACCAGTTCAGGGTGTCCCCCACCTACTGCCAGAAGACAGTTGGGATAGGCTCCAGCATGCCCCGCGACCCTCGTGAGGATAAACCGATTCAAAGATGGAGTTGCATCTCAACAAACTTTATATCGCCGATTGCATCGTAAGGCACCACTGTACATCCTCAAACGTCACAGCAACCTGGACGTCGAGCGAGAAACGGCAGTGAAAGAGGCTGCAACGTTGGCAAAAACATCTCGGGTGACCCTCAGCTCGACCTGCCCCATAAATACCCACACGCACGCAAACACAGGCAGAGTCAGATCCGCCCGGTCTCCAGACATGCACTCCCCTCTTTAAAGCTTCTCATTCATCACTTCCTCACTCTTCCTTCCTCCCCCATCCTCCTCATTCATCTCTCCTGTTGCGTGAAACACAGAGCGAGGAGGTGCACAGGGGAGTGCAGTTCGGCCGACATCAAACATATTGCCGAGTGTGAGTGTGTGTGTGTGTGTGTGTGGGGGGGAGTTAAAGAGTAACTCCTCCAAGCAGGTGTTCAGTCATAATGACCTCAGCCTGCTCGATATCGGCCGGCAAACAACTTCCTGCAGGGGGCCGAGTCGTCCGGCAAGGCCAAAGACTTGAAAGCTGACACAAACGAGAGCTTATCGACAAGACGGGAGGTGGGAAAACACGTTTCCAGCCAAGGAACATTCAATTTCTTCAGTGACTTTTTTGTGGGGGGGTTGTTTTGGTCAGCATTAAGTACTGTTGAAAATTGAGTTCAACTATTTGCCTACAGGCCATTAAAAAGTCCATCCTCTAAGGTGGCTAACGAAGACCACCGGGTGTCGTGTTTATTTAATGGCTCCTTCCACTCCCACTCACTCGATGCGAGTTCAAACAAGGTTAGGCTGTGACCTGCAACAGTTGCGCATGCACACACATACGCAGGGAGTTTCAAACGCGCGCACGCACGCACACACACACACAAAAAGACAGGAATCCGACGACGGTATTTGCATAACGAGTGACTCGGGGAGGACTTATCGACTCAACTACAGATGTGAAAGTCTTTGAAAGAATACTTTATTCGTTTTTGAGTTTTTGGCGGGTGGGGTGTTGCCGTTTTGGTTAGCAATAGTTAGCAGCTAGCTCTTCGACGAGAAGAGTTTTTCCCACAATGTCAACTGGCAAATCAAAGCGTGTCGGTATATTAAGGCACTCAATTGACAAGTACAAAATGGTTTGAGGATGACTGCCTAATAAGGCACCGAGGGGCCCAAGAAAGTGCGGAATGGTTGTTTTTATATTACATGCTTTTATTTTGAAGGTCTGGCCCTTGACAGGGTGCGTGAGGTCCATGTTGCCTGAATGCTGTTCAGCAGACGGCGAGTTTTGTTCTTGGCTTGAGTAGGTCATAAAAAGCTTGCGTCGTATGAATCCAAAGTATGTTACAAGTACTTTTTTTTTTTTTATTCATCAGATATTCATCGAGGAGCATTTATTTGATTATTTTTTAATGCTGAAAATATTGTCGGACAAGGGGGGAAAAGCGAGCTTGTGAGCTCATGAACCACACTCGGCTGCCTCTTTTCACGGCGTTCCCTTTCAGAACTCCCCCCCCCCCCCCCCCACCCTGTGGCCTGAATCACAATGACTGCTGCAACAGATGGCTGTCAAACACCCTCCACCCCACCCCCATGTACCTCCACCTTCTCACTAACTGCACTACATCCTCTGGGTCCAGCTGTCACTTGGGGGGTGGGGGTAGGAGGGCAGCGGGGGGGTCTCCCTGACGCCAACCATCAGTGAGCTGAGACAGCTGCTGCGCACTGGACACAACAAACCTCTCTCTGTTTTGCGAGCTTCTCGCCCTGTTCATTCTGGAATTGTTTTCGAGTTCTTATTCTCCGCTCGGGTTTCACTTCGCTCCGGCCATTGTTGCGTTTCCAACTCACCAGCGCTCATCTTCCACCTGGATTCCAATGGAGTGGAACTTGGATTGCTCCTCCGTCGGCCCCTCCTCCTCCGGCTCCACCTGTCGGCAACGGAGCGGCTGTCAATCAACATGTCGAGCGTGACGGTGGAGATCTGGCGACATGTTTGTGCAGGCGGGTGGTCAGCTATGTCAACAGCAGCCCCCCCTTCGCTTATAGTCCAAGTTCGGACACACATTATGGACACTTTCACTGGCAAGAAGCAAGTTCCCGGATTCCCACTTCTGGTCGTGTACTGGCCAAGCAAATTTATCATTTTAAGGACAAATAGAACAGGGGTGCCCAACCAGTCGATCGCGGTCAACCGGTAGCGCGCGGACTGGTCCCAAGTCAATCCTGAGGGATGTGGAAGGAAGTGACGCTTACCTACAAAGGTTTGTAATTGCGTAGAGATGCCATAAGATGGTGGCAAAACTCTTCTTTCCTATTAGACAAGGCTATGGCCTGACGAAACTTCCCTCACTTCTTTGGTCCCTGATGCCACAAGATAGCGCCAAAGCTACGTTTTGATATTAGACATGGCTTTGGCCTGAGCAAATCACAGTTTCCTGCCAAAAATCTGTGAACCGGCAAAATCGCAAATGCTGAAATGTGAATATGCAGGGGTTTACTAGACTTTAAATAGTGTGTTCAAATCAATTTAAGTGTGTTTTTAAAAAGTTTAGGTGGGATCAAAGTGTAAAATAAACCAATCCAAATCACTTCAGCCCTTATACCGCTGAGCGGCAAACATTTGTGAATGTAGATAACGTTGCATTCTCATCAGGGTTCATTCAAGGTCGCAAATGTTCGCCAAATGACCGCCAAACGTTTGGCTGTTATTTTCTTGAATTGAATGAAACACAAGCAATTATCCTGTGCGTCCAGATTTTACGAACACCCTTTAGTATGAACATGGCGTGTCACTTACTTGAAATTGTTTTGCTACCCGCGAAAAATTCACTGTAATCAACTCCCAAAAATGAAGCAAACTTCAACGCTCGGTGGCGAAAAGGGTTTCATGCGAACCTGGATCCCGATGGAGAGGCACTTGCGGAGCGCTTCCTTTTGCGCCTTGCTGTCGGCGGCGACGTGGGCGATGGCGGTGGACGTGACCGTGACGGTGCTGTTGGTGACGTGCTGGCTGGCCGGGCCGTGGACCTGAGCGTTGGCCGCCTCGATAGCCGCCGTCAGGGCCTTCATGCTGTCGATGCTCTCGGTGGAGTTGGAGAGGCCCGGCTGCGAGCTGATGCCCTTGCGCGGGCCCGAGCCGCCGTCCATGTAGGCATCCTGGGCCGACTCGGTGCTGCTCTGGGCCGTGATGGATATGAAGGGCTTGGACGGGGTGGTTCGCGGGGGGACTGGCGGGGGGGTCTTCTTGTAGGTGGTAATGCATGATGACACTACGGTGAAGAAGAACGAGGAGGATATACAATAATAATAAGGTAAAACGACTCATGTGATGTGACGACAGTCCAATTAAAAACATGACAACACTAAAAGATGACAACAAAATATTACAAAACTATTTGGATTTTTTTTTCTAAATATGAGGGATACTTTTTTAATTAATTTTTGATCAAATCTTTGGAGGGGAAAAATGCAACTGTATAACACCAATTTTTATGTGCTGAATAATTTAATTAAAATTAAATATTTGGAAAATGTGATAAAAATATCCACATCCAAAAGTTTTGCATACTGTGTTTAATGTATTTTCTATCCAAATTAATTTAGAATATTTATTTATAATTTAGAAAGAAAATTGTTCAATATCATTCTAGCAAATTAATGTAGTAAATACAAATATTTGAAACTTATAAAAAAAATAATTCATTCAAATAAAACCTAATGTTTCGTGTTATATTTGTTATTTTTAAAACTTTGGAAAGGATAATTAAATTTTAACACATTTTTATATTAATATTTTCTGAACCAATTCAAAATAAAATACTTTCTAAATAAAACAAAAAGATGTTTATTTGAAATATTTTTTTCATTAGATACTTGGAAAAAAATAATCCAACCTTAAACAAAAAAATAATACAATAATAATGTCATTTTATATATATATATATAATTTAAAATGAATTAAATTCAATTACATGTGGAAATATTTAAAAGTCAATGACAGAGAATGTTTTCAAAATTCAACATTTATAAAATCTTAACCCTTTCATGACACCCAATAACCTGACAATATAAGATGTCCACTGTAGTAACCGCCGTCCCTGGAAGGGTTTAAAAAAGAAAAACTCCAACCATACAACTATTTTTCTAAATGCATTGTTCCGATATTCAAAAAAATGTTAGAAACATGACATTTGAATATTATATTTTGAAAAAAAAAATTCCCTGTTTGTTTTTCATGGCTCCCACGACAGTCTCAAAAGTTGAGAACTGCAGGGGCATGACACGAAAAGCAGTGTTACACTGTGGGAAATGTCCTGTCTTTTTTTTTTTTGTTTTTTTTTGGACTGCACAATGAAAGAAGGAACATCGCTGTCAAAACGCGCAGCAGAGTAGGGCCGTTTTTAGAGAGATGCCAGTGTCGTAACAGGATTAGCGCGTCAGCCTCTTGACCCACTGATCTACATGGCTAAGCCTTCCTTCCATCCGCTAACTGTACAAAGCGCTCACTCCTTCCAGAGAGCCAATCAAGGGGTGTCACAATACAAAGCGCATCTTGAGTGACAACCAGCATGACAAAAGCAGCCTCTCCCCGGACAAACCTGAACAAAAACATGCGATCACACACCTTGTATTAGATGCCACTGTATAGGACATTTAAGGGGTTATTTTTGGTGGAATTTTGTGAGGTTGCGAACGCTTCAAAGATCGCAATTCAAAGATTTTAGTTCACAACTCAAATTCATTTTGTATTCCGTCATGGTCCGTTTGCCATTATTTGAACCTATCATTTTTCAAATCGTCATGTCAGCGCTAGTTTTGAGTTCACAGTACGCAGTGAAAAGGCATAAAAATAAATGAAAAGCCTCCAAAGGGAGACAAACAAGCTCCTGCTGTCGCCGCGATGTTCAACCACACCCCTGCCCGAAAAACCATTAGAGCCTCCACTGAGGCCAGCGCTCTCTCTCTCTCTCTCTCTCTCTCTCTAGAGGTCAACCGAGACGCTGACATCATCCTCATCCTTCACCCCAACAGCTCGCCCCGTTGCCCGCATGGACATCCGAGCCAAATCGAGAAGCGAGTGGGATCTTCAAACGGGAGGATGAATGGCGCGGTGGCGGCTCTGCGTGGCGGGCGGGACGACATCAGCGCTCTGAAAATAACAAGCGCATCGCGAGCCACAGAGCAGATGCGGGGCAGCTGACTTCCTGCGTCTTCCCGTACAGCTGCGTGTGCTTTTTTAGGCACGCGTTGCGATCAAAACACGAATGTGTTGTAATTTGTCTATTGGAGCATTAGCTTTCCTTTTAAAATAATTGTATTTATCATTTGCTGTCATGCATCATTTTTTAATGGCTTATTCGTGATTACTGTATTTTATTCCATTCACTGTTATTATTGATCCTGTATCAAAATGTCATTGTTAATACATTACATTATTAATCATTAAAAGGAAAACTACTCTGGTAATCTATTGTTTGTTAGCACTGTGAAATAATTTGAAGCAATTTTACTATTATAATTTACTGCAGTTGAATTATTTAATCAATTAAAAATTTAACATTCATTTTGATTCTTTACTCAATTGTAAAATTCACTTTGGAACAATCCTCAATTTTGTTTCTTCATCTGAATTGATTGTAATTTAATTCTTGTTTCTACTTTAACGAGATGAATAACATTTATTTCACTTTTGTTTATCGTGTGTTTAATTATTTTTGGTTTCATTTTTCAGGTTAGGTTTGGATAAGGATTTACGAAAAGAAAAATTTTAGGGATCAACTTTTGTTGACATCTAATCGTCGGGCCTCCGCACGGCGGAGAAAATATTCCAAATAAGCCTGATGATCAGTAAGTGCGTACGCTGCCTAAGAATGTTCGACCGTGAATTGTGAATCAGTCGTCATCTCGTGTTTCAATCCGCACGAGCGTCTTAGATTTTTGCCAGCTGTCAGGGTATGGATATGACGGACGCTGCAGGCCTAATATGGGCAAAAGGTCACCAAGTACACATCCACTCGGAAGAGGCGCGAGGCGCAAGGCTCCCCCCCCCCCCATCCCCCGCACAGGTTCAAAGGACAGAATGTCAGACGCTTTCAGGCCTTGGAGCCCCTCAAGTCATCTCAGAGTCACTCAGATAACAAAGCGGGAGAAGCTGTCAGTGCCCAAGCCAGACGCTCCAGAGGATGACAGCTGTTTGGAAAGCCCAGACAGGTTAAGTAAACACAGGCCAGAGAGAACGAAACCGAGCGAGATAGAAAGTCACGACACCGACGCGGCGGCTCGGCCACATCAATGGAGACCACAGACTTCCTGCCGCTGATAAGCTCGCCGACCTTCACAGGGCCTGGCGGCAAAAGACCCCGCCCACGCCAAAACCAGATACTACATACACATCAGCAAAACCACATGAATTCGCATTTGCACCACTGAAGTGACTGAGAATTTACGCCGCAGCTCTCATTCATCACAGGCGGTAGAAATGATAGCGTTGTTATGTTAGCTTCAAATGAAATCCAGCCGAGTCACACATGCTTCACACTTATGTCTCCGACTCCTTCAGAGTAGCAGTGTTAAAAACAGTGCGTCCGATCGCACGGTGGGCGTGGAAAGCATCTTTAGGTTGCAATTGACTTGTGCGTCAATGACAATTTTGAGTCGCGACACACAAGTATACCGTCAGTCCTTAGCTAGTTAGCTATAGCCATTCCGTTGTACACCGCGCATCGCAATCTGGCAAACACGGTGGGCGTGGAAAGCATCTTTCGGTTCCATTTGACTTGCGCATCAATGACAATTTGAGTCGCGACACACAAGTATACTCTCAGTTCTTAGCTAGTTAGCTATAGCCATTTGCCGTTTGAAACCGCGCATCGCAATCCGGCCAATATAGCATCCTATCACACAGTGGGCGTGGAAAGCATCTTTAGATTCCATTTGACTTGTGTGTCAATGACAATTGGAGTCGCGACACACAAATCTACTGTAATTAGTTTGCTAGCTAGCTATAGCCATTAGCTGTTTTATCGCAAATCTAGCCCTGAAATTCTTCGGGCATGAGCACATAGTGCTCTGTTCACTGAGTAACTCTTATTATATCTATCTATATATATATATATATATTTTTTTTTTTTTTTGTTAAAACTGGAAATGACATTTTAATTCCGTTCATGTGTTTTTGAATGGAAGGTTAATGCTAGGTTAAGGATCAGGATTTGGGGAAAAGTGAGGGTTCGGGTTGAGTAGCCTTTGGGTTTCAGATTCGGGTTGCAGATGACGGTTAAATTTAGCATTATGGTTAGGTTTAGGATTAGGATTTGGGATTTGGATTTGGATTAGCGTAAATTGAGGTTTAGGGTTTGTGGATAAATTGAGTTAGGTTTCATGGACAATCTACCTAACCTTAAGGATTCACCCCTAAAAAAAATACTGTTGCCGTTTGAACATCTGTTTTCAGTCAGTGATCTCAATAAAAACCCCCAGAGGATGATAGTAATAACTTGAGGGCGCCAAAAAAGTGGAATGGAACCCCGTACCAGCCACTGAAAGGCAACTTGTGAAATCTCATCTCGTCCGTGAGCGCTGTGGATTTTGTGAATGACAAGTCTCCTTGCTTCAAAGGCCGACACGTTGGCGCGAACTCCCCCCTCGCCTCCTCTGTCGACCTACCAAAGAAAACCACCGCCTTCCCCCGCCACCCCCCCCCCCCCAAACACACACTTTTTTTCCCCCCCCGAGACCGCTCATTTCTGTCGCCCTTATAACTAAAATAGACTTCCTCTTCTTTGAGGTTCAACCGAGTGTGTCCGCGCGGAGGTGTTCATGCTGGTGAGCTTTGTGATGGGCCACTATGCAAAAAAAGTCGATGCAGCAGGGGCGAGCTCCCTCACGCGGGGACCAAGTGAAAATCCAGCCCGTCCAAACAAATACAAAGGAGAGAGGGGGAGTGGTCTCTGCAAGGAGGGGTGGGGGGGGGGGGCACGTTGAAAGCCCAGCTGCATCGTGTTTGGGCTGAGGGTCCACCATTTGCCCATGTCACACAAACACATCCATTTGTCCGTCCCTTTTCCGCCGCACGTAAATACAGCTCGGCCGGGCCCAGCTGGATGACTTTTGTGATAGTGTCGCCATGGCGACACGCAGCAACATGAACTTTGCCAGTGGGCTTGGTGTCACACCAGAAGGGCGGGAAGGGGAGGCAAGGGTGGGGGGGGGTAAGCTTCTGTTGGCCGTTTGTTTACCTTGACGGCCCGCACTGCAGCTGCAGCCGGCGACACCTCGACAGCAGCCTGCCAGCCATCACAGAGGCAATCATAGGCGCGGC